CTGAGCTCTCATCCTCTGACGAATCGTTGAACCAGAACTCCGTTGTACTAATTTTTACGTTTTTATAAACTCGCTTTCTTTTTTATTTCATTTTAGTTTGCACAAATTTACTTATGTACATATGTATCATGATTCAATAATTAAAGGTTTGCTGATTAGAGACATTAGAGTTTTGACACTCCCTTACAAAAGCTTTGTACACACACACGAACCAACACACAGTGCCTTGCTAAGGGAGCCGATTTTGTCAAGAGGGAGCGAGAAAACTGTTTTTTGAGCAAACCTTTTATTATTAAATCATGCATATGTAAAAGCACACTATTTAGTTTGCTCGATTTGTAAGCAAAGATTCTCAGCGGTGAAAAATATACTATTGTGAACAACCTAAACGAGCAAATTCACAATTCATCGAATGAGCGCCATAATACCAAATGAAAATTCGTTCGATCAGCACTTTCGATCACAGTCGAAGATCGAATGCAACTCATAATAGGGGTCTATATCTAAAGGAAACATTTTTTATTTGAAGCAGCTATGATTAGAAAAAAATATATGGGCAAATCTAAAAAATAGGTACACCTCCAAAAAAAAATTTTAATTTTTAAATTTGTGAGCAAACCTATGTTTTATATATCATTTTATTCGTATTCTCTTAATAAATCGATTAATATAAGTGTAATTCATTTGCATCAAGTGCTTCAAAAGTTAGACGAGGAATAAACATGAAATAAAAAACAAAAGTATAAGCTGGGTTCAAATGACGTTGTTCAAGTTGTAAATTTTGAGCAAAGATTTTGAATGTTGAACCACTTAATTGGGACGTTCTAAATTCAATGGCATCCCCCGTTTTACCAGATTGGCTCCGGTTTTCGAGATAACGGTATTTGAAACTTTTGATTAAATTTTAACTATTTTATAAATAACTCCCTCAGATTTGAAGTTATTTTACTCAAATTTTGCACATAACGGTTTTTTATTATTACCTTAATTATTCCTTAAAATTATCGAAATGGGTGCACTTTAATGTATAGCTCCAATACAATATAACTCTAACTTCATATCTGATTAATAAATTGTATGTGTGCTGTATGTTAAAGTGAACCTATACTAAAATTTTACGTGCTTAATTGGAGGAGCTATAACGCTAAACAACGTCTCTGGACAATCAGTTGTATGGGAGATAGATTTTAGAGTCAAGCGATTTCGATGATTTTATGAGATGGTGAAGGAAATGTTAAAATACAAGCGTATGCAAAATTTTAGTAAAATATCTTTAAAACTGATGGAGGTTTATAAAATAGTTCAAATTTAAGCAAAGATTCAAGTACCGCGATCTCCACAAGTGGAGACAATCGGGCAAAACTGGGGACGCCATTGAATTTAAAAGGCTCCAATTAAGTAAGAGCAACTATCAGAACCTTTGTCGGAAAAAATTTGATTTGATACCACGCTCGAAATATTCTGACTAAAGGAAGGAGCATAATTAAAAGTACTAAATCGGGGTTTTTACACACTTCTAGAGAACATTTTTTTGAAGCATTTTACAGGTATATGCAACGTTATAAGGACTAGTAGTTATAAGAATATTTAGATCGTTTCGACGAATTTTCCAAATGTGCCTTCAATTAAGATATTTTTGGAATAAAAATTACGCTCAAGATCGCAGAATATTTTATCTTTAAAAGTTAGTTTTTCTGAAAGCACACCTCTTGATAAGGTATCAAATTATTCGTAATTGTTTGTAGAATACAACACATACTTAAGAAGTTCTTAAAATGAAATGTTTCAAAAACAATACGCGATAAACCGAAAATTTTGAAAATTGGGAAATGTGGAATTACAGACTTTGAGTTACTTGCCATTTCGTTATTTTCTAATGCACACTTTTCTTATCTACTAAATATGAAGTATACACATAAGTGCTAAATGCCCATTTATTTTCAAATCAGAATATGGTGTGCTTCAAAAGTAATGACATAATTAATTTTGCCCCTCTTAAAAATTACATAAAAAATTCACTTGTTTTCATTATTTTTTTAAATTTAAACACCTATAATTCAAAAGTTATGCAGCAAATTGATCCAAATTTTTGTTGAGGCTTCAAGTATACGTCAGTGGATTATATCCAAAATCAACCAGCTTGATATAGTTTCCAATAGTGAAAATGAAGCTAAATAACACCAAGGTTACCTGTTTTTTATTTTAGATTTGCCCATATACATACATAGCAAAAACTAAACAAAATTTTTAAGCTAAAATTTTTTCCGTAACGCCATATTAGATCCGCCATTTTCATTTTGAGAAATCTGACTCGGATTTGAAATCCTCGATTTCGAAAACACCCCTTATATATAAGTTTTTGATAGAAAAGAAAAAATTTTAAAATTTGGTGGCTATATTGGATCCGCCGTTTTAAATTTAAAAAGTCTGCTATCTGATTCGAAATCAGAGCCCTCGAACCCTTCCCTATTACATGAGCTTGTGCTGAAAAGGAAACAAAATTAAAATTTGGTCGCCACGTTGGATCCGCCATTTTGAATTTCGAAACTCTGACATTATATACGAAATCAGTGACCTAAAAAACCCCCAAACACTAAGTTTGAAATCAATTTGGTTACACCCAATACAAATTTTTAAACCATAAATTGGCGTGGCCCGCTCAAATTTGGCCGTACCTCTCTTATAAAAAATAATACCAGACGTTCATCATTTTTATATTTAAATTATTATGTTATCAGTATTTATAATTGAAACGCCAAAATATTTTTGGCTATTTTAAACAATTTTTTTTTTTTGCTCCGAATCCGATAACGCCACATTGGATCCGCCATTTTCTATTTCAAAAATATAGCATCTGATTTGAAATCAGCGACCTCGAAACGCCCTATTTATATGAGTTTCTGGTAGAAGGAAAAAAATAATGAAATTTGGTCGCCATATTGAATCCGCCATTTTCATTTTAAGAAATCTGACATCATATTCGAAATCAGCGATCTCAAATACTCCCAAACACTAAGTTTCAAATCATCTTGGTTACTTCTCGACTTTTGGCCAGCAAATAATAGTCGCCAGGCCATAGTGCACTCTTTCTAGGGCTTAAGTATAAGCGGAAAATGCGTATAACCGGGTTCCTTATTATTTTGCATATAAACACCAGTCTGGGTCAGGCTAGACAACATACAAGATCCGATCTATTAAAAATCTAAATGTGTTCAAAATCATAAATTTTTCGAAAATGTTTTGTGTATACATAAGGGAAATCGTCCACCAGAAATACAAGTTTGAAACTTACTAAATAAATTACAAGACATTTAAGCTAAACCACGCATTAAGAATTACTTTAAAATAACTTCGCACAAAGAAGTACTGCTACTTAAAAGTATTAGAAACACTTCACACTAAAAAAATGATATTTTACGCGTCACCATGATACAAAAAGAAGGTAGTTTCATATAAAAATTTTGACAAAAAAAACTAAAAACTATCCTAAGTTACAAATAAAGCTATTCATAGTCGCCTTAGTTTCGACTTTTCTGACTAAGTACCAACTTAAAATTTAGTTTCGGCTGCAGCTGCAATAAGTCGTAACTATTATTTTATTGAATTAAGGAAAAAAAGACGAAATATGTAAAAATTAAGTTGGCAGAGCGTGATTTTGATAATATTGAATTATCTCTAATTGAAACTTACGAAGAGCGATCCATTGAATCGGAAGATGAAATTAAATGCGTATTACAATTCGACTAAGGCTACATCACAAGTTTATAATTTGAATGATTTACATATATAAATGCTCAAATAATAAGTCAATTTCCAGCTTGTTCTTTCAAAGCAAATTAGTAGTTACATAACATGTGTTTGTATGTTTCACAGCATGCTTTCGATAAACATCGACTTCACATCATTGCGGTAGTTCTGGCTATTTCACACAATTAACAAGAAACTTATACCTTATTCTTTTGCATAAACATGCAATAAAAGTAAAAATTACTTATTTAATAAAAATGTAATTTTTCCAAAATATCGTAAAGAAAAATCGATAAATTTTCACACTCCTTTTGCAATATCGTAAAACTAAGTTAAAACTACTTAGCTGAAGTCTGAAATGCGACTATGAATAGAAGTGGATTTTAAGTTGGTACTTAAGTTTAAGTTGCAACTTTATTAGTTTCGACTTAGTGGCTGGACTATGAATACGCGCCATTATGTTTTTATCATGATTTGCACAATGATTTTGTGGTGGTCATTAGAATGAGTACAGTATAAACTTTAAGAAAAGTTATCCTTCGCCTCCCTGCCCCTTCTAGAGACACTCGGGGGCCCTTTTAAAAATGGGGTAAAATTAGCATTCTCGCAAAGAAAAATTAACTCGTGTTGGGCCATCAGCAGTATTTTTGCGCAAAACTCCTTTCCGCGTTGATAGTCTTCGGAAATAACCTCATCAGTCCAACTCCGGCTACGCCATCCACATTATGTTTTTGAAAAATCCACCTCCAAATTTACAAAGAAAGTTCATAGGTATTTCAAACCGAAATGTTTGTTTAAATTAAAGCTTAATCCTTTGGCCAAACTTATATGTAATTTTTTTTTTAATATGGTCATCATGGCATGTAGCTTTAGTGGGAAATCATGATTTGCATAATCAGTTAAAGCGCTTTATTTTGTTGTGTACCTTGAATATACATAAATACGTACATATGTACATACATATGTAGCGTAACACTTAAATCGGTGAAAGTGTGACACAATTTATTATTCTCTCTTGTTGATTATTTATTCAGCACTCGGCATATTTTTTCTCTCACCGGCTAAGCTAACTAATGGTCAAACAATGACCGCAGTCTTCATGGTGAGTAAAAATTATCATAAATCTCCAAGTATAACGCATTAAGGGTAAAAGGACACAGTCCGTAATATAACGATTAATCGAGAGTTTTAACGAACTTGTGCACGAATAAAAAGTGTACGCGCTACACATCGCCGCCAGTTCGAATCGAGTTTTGAAGTAGATACAACGGCCTGTTTAAACGAGCGCAAGTTCTTAGTACACATTAGCACTGTTGAAGTAAAGCATATAGCTAGGCGCATAAACGTTAATATGAGTTGTCACAAGAATTCAACCCCTTTGTAATTTGGTGAAGTTGACATGAACAAATTTTTACCTACGCCAACGCAAATTGTAATACATATGAATGGAAATATAATATTAAATTAAAAGTATACCAACATAAATTCATAAGTACTAGTTACTTATAAGAACGTAAATTAGTGAAAATAGTGTGTGACAAATTATGGCGCCTGATTTCACCATCTGATTGAAGAAATGAATATCTAATAAATATGCAAATATGTGCTTATATGTAAACATTATGTAAAACGTTTGAAAGGAATACATCTACTTAAATTATTTTTGATTTAAATGCATATTGTTTAATAATAAAAAATAGATTTTTTTTTTAATATTTGCGTTGAACGGAATTCCAAAGTTATGGTAACGCGTGCATCGAGTGTGCCTCATTTAAATAGTAGCGCTGGCAGCAGCAATGAAAGTGCCTCAGGTTCTGGTTCCGGACCCAATAGTCGCCGAAGTCGCCTACCAAATACACGCACAAAACGCACGGGAAAAAGTGTTACGCCCACGCAAACGCGCAATGTGTCTGGCGGCATGCCACGTTCACGGAGCCTTACCCATGGCATGCGGAGATCTACTCCTCAGAAGAGCAATAGCAGTTCCGGTGGCATGGGAACGAGGAATACTCCGGTTTTTCTACGTTCCCGCGAAAACGAGTAAGTGAAGTTCCCATGCACGAAAATATGCAGCTAATCGTACTAAAAAAATGCTTGTGTGCTTTTTGAAAGTATTTAATTGACTAGGAAATCGTTTCAAAAGTTCTTCGATTAGGGTGATTAAAAATGTGTGTCTTTTAATATGCTTCCTAAGTCAAGTTTATCACGCAGTTCATTAGCCTCTTCTGTAAAATTATCGTGGAAAGCTAAGTTTTGTATATTTTTATAATTGGAAAGAATTTATTTGAAGGGAAAAATCACCAAAAATCGCCAATGGCGATTTCAGAAATTTTTACGCGCAAATATCAAAAAAAAAATCTGGACACTCTGGTAACACCGTACATATGATAGAAGTGAAACTTCTTAAAAAAGGTGTGAGTCCCAGGTACCTACTCACGAAATTGGATGTGTAAACATATGTTTACGGTTCGGCAAACCATTAGGCGATTGAGTTACATACAAAGGTTTGGTTAGAAATCAAACAATAATTTAATTTCATCTTATTAGTTTTCTGATATACATATAATTTATTTATTCATTTTCCGGTAACACCACCAACGTACGCACTTTTGTTTGCAAAATGCATTTATTTAAGTTGAAAGAAGTCACATTCCTTTGTTCGGCATTTATTCTTACTCGCTTTCTATCTTCCAAGGCGAATTCATATACAGTATATTTTGCTTTGTTGCCTTTATGCTTAAGTGCACATTTAAGATAACTACCCCAAAATGTGCATCAGCGGCATTATTTTTAACATTTATAAGGAAACTGCTCCGATAGATGCATTCAACATACTTGCATATTAGCAATACCTGCCTTAAAAATTGTGCAAATATTGTATTACGTTTACCTGCACTGGCCCTATATTTACCCTAATTTGACAAGCTTTTATTTATTTTTCTCATCTCGCAGAATAACGCAAACGGCTATAATTTTTTATGTAGTTATGTAGATAATTAGATACCATTCGGAAAAAATTTCGCTTGAAGTAATTTCTACGTGGTAGGTGCTCCTCCATTATTTGGTTTCATAGGAATTTGGATACCTTCCTCATTCAAGTAGCAAAGAAAATTCGCTTAAGTGCTTTTTTCGGTTTCAAGGGTTTCGTGCAAAGAAGAATGGGCAGCTAAGCAAAATATACTGTATTCTTATCACGAATTAGGGTTGCCAGACGTTCTGCTTTTGGGAGTACACGTACTCCTTTTTATTGCAATGTACTCCCTTGTACTCCCAAAAAAAAAATATGGAAGTGTACTCCTTTATTAGTTTTGTACTTCTTTTGTTCTCCTTTTTCCAGCTATTAATATTTTATCATATACAGGGTGTAAAATAATAACTGTCGCACAGTTTTATTTTTGTTTATAGATTTTGCGAAAATTTTATTAATTCGTTTTTAAATTTTAACCTTCATTGGGGTTTACCAGCGGGTTTGGGAGAAAAGCGCAAGTGGCACGCAAGTCTTCATCGGTTACTTTATTACATATCTTCTGTAAATATAGGCTAATATCCCCCATTTGGGTCCTTTATACTCCGTCTTTTGTCCAACATAAGGCCTCATACTCAGCAATCGAAAAGACTCCGAATCGGTGACTAGGAGGGCATTCATAAGACCAACACTATACAGTTTTTTTTTCTCTTTTTTTTATACAAAGTCTATGAAAAAGTAAACCTATAAAAGACGGGAGTGCCGCATGAACTTATCTCCCAAAGCTGGCAANTATACAAAGTCTATGAAAAAGTAAACCTATAAAAGACGTGAGTGCCGCATGAACTTATCTCCCAAAGCTGGCAAATGCAAATAAGGATTAAAATTTTAAAACTAATTAATAAAATTAATGTAAAATATTTACAAAGTTAACAGAAAAGTACTCTTTTTCGCAATATCTATAAAGGACCCTTTTATTTTTCAAAAAACCTGTGCGACAGTTTTTATCTTACTCCCCGTACTTTGCCATTCATATTGTGGCAAACACTACTTAGTAAGCAAAGTTAAGTGTGATAGTGAAAAGGTGTAGGCATGGTCGTAGCAAGGTAGGTGCAGAGCACTCGGGTATAAAAACCAGAAAAATATTAAATTAATTATAAGGCTTAAATTAAAAAACTGGCCATATATTCAGAAAGAGTTCTTTTGTAGAATTTAGTTGGGGAAAATGTCCTATAAGGGCGGTCGTTGAAGAGGTGGTGAGCGAAGGGGGAGTGGGCGTAGCACCCCCGACCACCTAACCCCCCTATGGGCCCCCTTTGATCACTATCTCTTTACCGACCGCCCTTATTGCAAAGACAGCCCATTTAACTATTTATTTTTAACATTTATTGTTGCTTTGAAAAAGATTTCTAAAATATCTTTGTTTATTTGTACCTAATTAATGGCAATTTGTAAGAATAAATTGCACAACAAATTAAAAAAAAAATATGTACTCCTTTTTTAGGTCTTATACTGCTTTTTTTCTATCGAAAATATAAATGAACTCCTTTCTCTGTTTCAAAATCTGGCAACCCTATCACGAATTCATATATTCATGTGGTAGCAAGAGTATAAAAACATAAAATTACCTTATAAATTAAAAGCATAAGTATCACATGTATGCGTAGTCCAATTCACGAAATCATTTCATCGATCTGAGTAAAAACTAAGTGCATAAACTCTATTTCGCGTTAAATGAAATCATTAAATGGTGTTCATTCATTCAGTTTCTACTCAAACGCATGAAATTATTTCATGAATTGACCTACGCATAATGGTAGTAAATGACAGAATGAATTACAACAAACACATCCTTTTGACATAATCCAAGCCGAAAACGTTGGTTCAAATCAATCCGCAATGAAAGTTGGACGTTTTGCCCACAAACATTGCAATTTTGCGAGCAGTCTCATTGTAAAATCTCATTTTTACGATATCATAGTTTCGGCTTACATTTATAAAATTCAACGAAAGCATGTACCTATTTCGGCTGAGTTATCCATTTTCGGTTATTATACCCGAGCGCACTTGTGCACAAGGGTATTATAACTTTGTTCACATAACGGTTGTTTGTAACAGGCAAAACGAATCGAGATAGATATAGACAAATGTATACATAAATGATCAGAATGAAAAGAGAAATCGATTAAGCGGTGACTGTC